ATATACTGCTGCAACCGTTTTTGAATTATCTTCAGCAAGATTTTACTTGTGTGTGATATTAATGATATTGTTCGATAATTCCCACATTCGCTGGGGTAATTTTTTTGGGAATGGGTACATATATCCTCCAATCAGTTGGCCAGGTAGCTATCTTCCAAATTTCTTGGCATAGCCAAGTAAGTGCCTCCAGCACGGTATCCATTTGTAGAAACATCTCAATGGGTATTCCATCAATTCTTGGAATCTTGTTTTTTGCCAATTCCTTAAATGCAGCTTCAACTTCTTCCTTCAATGCCATTGGTTCTTGATCATATGCCACCTCCTGAAATAAATGAACTTGGACAAATTCTTTTTGATGCAGTGACTCCGTGTATTCTTTCTATCTTCTTTTGATGTTTCCTGCATCAGTCAATATTTTGCCCACAGAATCTTTCAATATTGCAACTCGAGGCTTGAATTTTTCCTTCAGTTCTTTCAACTTGAGAAATACTGAACGTGTTCTTCCCTTTTGGTTTTCTAACTACAGGTCTTTGCACATTGCATTATAATAAATAATAATAATAATAAAAACAGTGCCATACTGAATATGTTTTTCATACTTCTGTATGCACATATGCCAAGTTACTTACTTTCTACAGATACACCTAAGAGTGTAAGTTCTGGATACCAAAAACCACCAAACTCACTGCTGTTAAGTAGGGTCCGACTCATAGTGACCCCTCCTTGTGTTTCCGAGGCAGTATCACTTAGGAAATAGATTGCCCAACCTTCCTTCCGAGGAGTGGCTAGTGAGTTTGAATTGCCAGCCTTCTGGTTAGCAGTCAAATGCCTTAGGCACTACGTCACTGAGCTCTTAAGTTCTGGATAGAAGGTATTTATTTTTGATTCTTCATATTCTTTGCACATTTTTCTATTTGATAGCTTATTTTTCCTTTTTTCATGCATCTGTAAGAGTTCTTTATATGTTCTGAAGAATGACCTTTATTCTGACGCACACACACACATAAATAAGTATGTTTCATCTCCCAGTTTGTTTCTTGTTTTTAAATTTGGGTTATTGTGTCTTTTATCATAAGAGGTTTCATATTTTTATGTAGTCAAATTTATCATTCTTCTCTTTTGTTTGTGTCTTTCTCAGAAAGATTTTTCATACTCCAAAGTTTATATATATATATATATATTCTCTTTTATCTTTTCTTGTTATTTCTAATTTTTTTTTAATGTTTAGCTGTTTAAATTACTTGGAATTTAGTTGTGTGTATGTGAAAGGGTGTTACTTAATTTTCTTTCTTTTTCCAAATGGCAAGTCAATTGGTAAACACCAATTCTTCCAATTATCAAATTATTCATGTGTCTAAATATGTTCAAGTGTCTGTTTATACTAAGCTTTCTTTGATGTCTTTGCTTATTTCTGTGTCAAAACCATGCTGTTTTGGTTACTATAGCATTATCATATGCTTTGGTATCTAATAATAGGAAATATATTTGTTTCTTTAGATATTTATGGATAAGATGGAGTCATATTTGTCTTGGAATTCCAAAGACCTGTTTGTATCCATGTTTGTTGAATGATACAAATGAGTACATTCAGAAGCTAATAATGCTTCTTCTTCTCAATGTAGAAATTGTTAGAACATCTTGTATTCTCAAGGGCTCAAAAAGATCACAGTGAAAACTAACATTTTTTTTTTTTCTGTTTTCTGTTCTACCTTATATTATATTCTAGTACTTGGAATGAGTTATTCCATAGGAGTCTTACTTTTCAAAAATGAGTAATGCTTGTAATTTTGGCACATAACAACATACAACAAATGCTTGTAAAATGCACTAAACTCAAAAAGTCCAAAAGTGAAAAGCCAAGTCTCCTCCTAGTTCTTGAGAGGCTACCACATTACCAGTTTTACCTATAATCTTCCAGAATGGTAGCACACCATGCAAGGTCCTGCCCCTTGCTGTTTCCATTCAGCAACATATCTTAGAGCTCATTCCATATCCATGCATGTGATGCTGTTTCATGAGATGACTGTGCCAAAATTCATTCTACCAAAATGGCAATTCAGCTATTTTAACAAATATCCTTTTGTTATTTCTGAAATATCTAGAATGAAGGTCTTGCACATACAATTAGAGGGTCAAAGGGCTTTGAAATTTTCAGTTTTGATTTATATTGTGAAATTGTCCTCTAAGAAATTTCTAGAATGAAGACCCTCATGGTACTGGCCACCAGTCTTCAGACTTGCTCCAACATGCCCAAGTACAACATAGAGGCTCTAACTAGGACCCAGATAGTGAGTGGAATTGTATGTGTGCATATTTGTGTGTGTACACACGGCAAGAAGTTCAAGGAAGATCATAAGTCAATTAATTAATTGGAGCCCTGTTGAAAGCTCTAATAATGACTGGAAACATTAGTAGTTTGAAAAAAAAGCTCTTTTGCCTTTATTATTTATTAGAAACTGGCAGTAAATAATAGGTTTGCATTTCATAGTCTTGATGCTGCTAATCAAAGCACAGGACATTTCTTAAGATAATAAATTATTATCCTTCACAACAGGAGCATAAAGGGAATTTGGCTTTATGAATTGCTAACTGGGACACTAGCCTTTGTCTGGGTCTGGGGCTGATTCAGAGAAAAGGAGACTGGTAATTCCATCTTGAACTGGAACACTCTTATAGATTGGGCAGGACAGTTTCCTCACTCTCACAATATTGTACTTACCTGGTGTCAACTGGGTCAAGTGGCCCAGGCTAGCTTAAAAAGTGCCCCCCCTCCCAACTGTTTTGGTAGCATTAGTTCAAGATGGTTACCTGGAAAGGGATTTTTTCCTAAACTAGGGGAAGACTTTGATAGTGGGCCAGAAGGGTATTTTTACTATTCCCTCTTAGTGAATTGGTGTTCTTTTCAGATTGTGTGTCCTTCCCTTCAACCTCATCTCATTTCCTTCCAGTATGTCATAATTATCTTCCTTCTCTCCACTCCTGGCTCCCCTGGTGTTTGCCTTTTGAAGGGATGGGGGGAGATCCTCTTTTTCCCTGAGGTATCTTTCTCCATCAAAAGGAAAGAAAGAAAACACCAAGGTCTCATCTCTTCCCTTCACAAAGATAGGGACAGAGGTAATAGGAGCCCTTTTGCCTTTCTTTCCCTTTCCCCCTTGTATCTATTTCCCTTACATTTGAAGCTGTTCAGTGATTTCTGGTCACCTGCAGTGTGAAAGGAGGAGGATGTTTCATTCCGGTTGAGTCAGGTGTCCCTTCTCTGGCATGTCCTCGCAGTCCAATGCTGTTGTCTTCATCCCTTTTAACAACTTGGCCTGCCAACCCTATGGATATTCCTTGGCAACAGGACCCTTGGATCATATTTCATTCACTTCAGTGCCTGTTTTCACCCAGCACACTGAGTATGGGGACTTAAAACTGCCAACTAGCAACAACAGAGCAAATAGCTTTAGATACAGCATTGGCCAACACAATCATACTTTATAACAAAATTTTATTAGGATTAAGTCAAATTAGAAAACTTCATGCTTCACCACCATTATTAACCTGGAATGACCAGATTAAACACAGTTGAGTACAAAACATGTTGTGTCCCTGGAGTGTACAGTTTGGAAAGCAAGAAGATGGAAGCATGGAGCAGTATGCCTGGCACCACCATAGTTTCTCTTTAAGGCCTAGCAAGTGGTCAGCAAAGCTTTGGGCCAAGGAAGATGTCATTCCCAACCTCCCTCCTTCAAAAGCAGACTCATCGTAACCCAGACGCCAAAGACTGAAGCCTATTTTTCGGAGACTAGTATTTTAACATCAGTTATTTCAAGGGAAGCCAGGCTTGAGGTATCTTTATGGCTTAAAAGGCACAAGTCATGCAGCTGATTGGAAAGTTGTGTGCCATTTTCTTGAGTGTGAGCTGTGAGCCATGTCTTCTAAAGGGGCCCTGATGCTCTGTGTCTGACCCCTCAGTATGGCTTCTGTGTCATTGGTTCTGTTTCTCTCCCCCAGCCCCTGTGTGCTTACTAGGTGTGAGTGCTGGAACCACAGTGTAGGCGGCTGGTCAGGGGTTCCATCAATTGACTTGATGGCAACCAGTTTTGGTTTCTTGCCTTGTGGAGAGCAATCTGTGCTGCAGAACCTCATGACCCAGGACACAGAGGGGAACATACCTTCGAGTCAAGAAGGGACTCAAATGCAAGCAAAAACAGGGAGGATCACTCTTCAGGTACAACATAGTAAAAGGAAAAGAAATCTGCTCTTCCTGGAAGGGGTTCTATCAGCTGGAAAGTGGCACTGCACATAGCACAGAACACACCATCTGCAACCAAGCTCTTTGACAAAAGGGAGCAGCACCTTGTAAGGGATGTTAATAAGGACAGGGGTTCCCCCAATGCCATGTGGGTCTTGTTAGGCATCAACAGCAGATATTGAGCCCTTATCTGGCTCTGCAAATAGTCCTGGTGGGGCAATGGTTAATTGCTCTGGTCGATGTTTTGAACCCACCAGTCACTCCATGGGAGAAAGATATGGCATTCTGCTTCCGTAGATATTACAGCCTTGGAAACCTTATAGGGCAGTACTATTCGGTCCCATAGAACCAATCAATATCAATTCGAATTGACTTGATGGGAACCAGTTTTGGTTTAGTTAATCAAAGGAATAAAATCCATAATCTAAGTGAAAGGCATGGGGAGCTGAGCACAGAGAAGAAAACACTCTGCAGACAAAAAAGCATCTGTTTCATTCTTACAGCAGCTAGACTTTTGACCCTCTCCATCCCACCCAATTCATTAATAAAAATGGCTACTGTCAAAAGTTGAATAATATAGAGGGATGATCATATGTTTTCATTTCTTCAGGTACCAGAGGATAGATGTAACAAGGTTTGATTCTCTCCAATCTACACTCTTAAAAACTTTTCCAGTCTCTCCCCTCACTGCCTCATTAGCTTGGCTTGCATTCCTTGGTGAACCTTGCATTTTTTGTGATTATATTCGCACTGCTCAGGCCAATTAATTCAGTGGGGATTGACCAGGAGTTTGCTCAAGCTTGAGTTCATAGCCTCCCAGGCCGAGGTCCCCCTCATAAATGTTTTCCTTGCTTGGAGTCTGGGGTGAAGTGTCTGGGTCCAGCCCTGACCTTATGGGAGGACTGCAGGGTGAGGAAGCTTGCTCCTGGTAACTCATGGCTAGTTCATCCTGATTGACAATGCATTCCAAATCATCCTCTTTTGGATGTTCCTAGATTTTGAAAAGAGAGAAAGAGAGAGGTCACTTCATGATGAAGACAGAAAACCTAGCAGTTCTAGACTGCAAGAAAATAGGGTATGTGTGTTTTCCCTTTCATAACCGCCCTAGGATTGTCTTGGTTGTAGTTTCCACCTAGGTCAGAAACCACTTTTTTCAATCAGTGGGCAGAGAGAAGCATGTCAACAAGTCAGCATTAAAGATCTGACACACAACACAATCCTAACGGATCTCTAAGGAACCCTGGTGATGCAACAGTTAAGCAGTTGACTGCTAACTGAAAGTTTGGTGATTTAAACATATGCAGCAGCTCTCTGGGAGAAAGAGCTGACGATCTACTACTATACGGATTACAGCCTAGAAAACCCTATGGAGCAGTTCTACCCTAACATGGGATTGTCATGAGTCAAAATCCATTCTAAGGCATCTATCAACAATAATAACAGTAAGGGATCTTAAAACCTACAGGAAGAGTCATTAGAGACCATGTGTTAATGGTCTCCTTGCGTTAAAAAAAAAGAAAAAAAAGTTGCCCTCCAGTTGATTTGACTCCCGAGGACCTCATATGTATTGTCAGGGTACATTTGTGCTCCATATGGTTTTCAATGGCTAATGTTTTGGAAGTCGATTGGCATACTTTCTTTTGTGGTGCCTCTGTGTGCACTCTTTTAGTTAGCAGCTAAGCATGGGAACTGTTTGCACACCCAGGGGTTGCCTTCCTTGTGTTAAGAGAGTTAAAATAGAATTCAATGACTATTTCTTCCACTGGTTGAGGAGTTGAGGGGAGTTAGAGGTCAACAGAATTCTGTGATCTCAAGAGTAGGCAGTGATTCTCAGTGTTGGTTCTGTAACAGTCCTGCACAACATCATAAAGTTCTCAAAATGCAGTTTCTGTTATCTTTACTTTAGAAATGCATCCTCATGGCATGTTTCTTGGGATGGGTGTCACAGTGCTAAAGACAGTTGGAAATCACCAAGGTGAATAATGGCTGAAACTAACTGGATCTGGCCAGTACAGCTTTCCTCAGACAAAGGTTCCCTTGAAGCAAAGAATTAAAGTCTCCATTTTTCTTCCACTGGCTTTGGGAAAGCCACACACAATTATTTGTAGAATGAGCCCTGTTTAAGTGATCTCAGGCCAAAGGCTCCAAGCTTCAGCATGCATCAGAATCTCTAGTTGTTGTTGCTGTTAGTTGCTATTGAGTCTATTCTGACTCATAGCAACTGCACATAACAGAGTAGAACTGCCCCGCAGGGTTTCCTAGGCTGCCATCTTTATGGGAGCAGATCACCAGGTCTTTTCTCTCATGGAACAGCTGGTGGATTCCAACACTGATCTTTCAGTTAGCAGTCAAGGGCCAGGGCTTCTTTTTTTAATCAACTAGAGGGCTTGTTAAAAAACAGATTGCTCAAAATCTCTGATGTGAGGACTGAGAATCTGCAGTTCTAGCAAGTTTCCAAGTGATGCTGAGGCTTCCGGTCTGGGGCTCTCCTTTGAGAACCAGTGCCTTAGGCTCTTGTGCCCTGAACCTATCTAGATCTGCTTTTCTATGTTTACACAAGGTGGTGACCAGCTGGGCAACCTCTAAGGGCTCTTCAAATTGGAAGATTCTGCTTTTCTCCAATCCCTGACACTCTGATTTGCTGATAATGATTCTAATTGCTTCTCAGCACTTTTTATTCCACTCCCTTGAGCTATAAAGCACAGGCCTAATATCCAAAAAACCTCAACACACAGCCCTTGTGAGGACATATTACTTCTTTTACATTTTTGAAGTTCATTTTATGGTTAAAAATATTGGTAACAATAAAAAAGTTACATTTGTAAAAGGAGAATAAGCCAACATCAGCAACAACTGAAAAGAGAAGACAAAAATGCTTTTTGGTGTAGCAAGTTTTAAAAATGCTTCCTCCTTAAGCTGGGAAATAATAGCCTGAGGTTCCCAGGCTCATCAATATTCTCCGAGGCCATCCCATGTGGGATGTTTACTCACCCCGTAGGCCTGTGGACTGGTAAGCAGCCTGGAAATTGGACTGCACCATTCTGGTAACGTGGTGGTCAGTGGAGGCCCAGAATGTGTTAAAATTGGTTTCAGGTATCTGCAAGGCCTGTTAAGGAATGCTTGTCCAAAAGTAGTTAGGATTAACTGGTTAGTTTCTCACATAGCACAAACTTCTGCATTTAACGAAGGAGATAATACATTAACCTTTAAATTCCTTACTCTGTCATTTAGGTAGCAATTCAGCAAGCCAAAATTGCTGTTTAGAATCTTTGCTCCACAGACCTTTGCAGCCCTCCTGTTAGCCTTTAATCATGAAAAAATGGCGAATGGCCCATGAAACAGCAGCAAGAGGTGTGCGTGGTCCTCTGCCCATCCCATCCTCCACTCAATGTCTCATCAGCTTAGAAAAAGCATTCTTAAGAATTACCTTAATCAATAGCATAAAAAATTGTATTTTCTCAAAACTGCACACTGCTTGTTGTTGTTGTTGTTGTTGTTGTGTGCCGTTGAGTCGGCCCCGACTCATAGCGACCCCTCCTTGGGTTTCCGAGGCAGTATCACTACGGAAGTAGGATTGCCCAACCTTAGCTACCAGTAATTTTCACAAAGAAGCAAGAGGTATTTCATAAAATGTTCAGTAATTTTAAGGTGGGGTAGTGTATATGGATTATTTTCCAAAATTCTTTATTTTCACTATTCAACCCAGTCACTTTATACTTCATACATCAATGCATCGCTATACAAAATTATGTAAATAAGCTGGTGCCAGGTTTATTCCATTGTCTAGCACCTGTCTTTCTCATCTTTTCATCCCAAAGTGCTCTAACAAGTTAAAAGAAAAACCTGTTCATCTAGAGCCATTATGTTTTCCTCCAATCTATCAATAATGAAATCCCCAGTGGCTGCCTCAGGTTGTCTTATTTATTTATTTATTTTTATTTTTTCCTCAAAGAAAAGCAGTGGAATTATTTCACCATTCTATCAGAAATGACTTTTAAGCTTTATATTATTTCCTCTTGTGGAGAATATTTCACCTCCTCAATTTTCTGAAAAGCTATAATAAATAGGGAATGGGAAAAAATGGAAAGCAGTTAACACTGGTTGGCTTGTGGAGATCCGCAGTCCCCCACCAGGCACTCAGGATGTGAGAAGATCTTGGCAATGACTCCACTGGGGCCTGTCTACAGCTGGACAACACCACTCTGTCATCGTCATGATGCTCTGACTGTGTGGGAACAGGCAGTGGATGCAGCCCAGAGGGACCAGGAATCTGCTTCACTTTGGAAAGTCACTCCCCACCACAGAAGTAACAAATGGGATGCTCACAAACACAGCTAGTTCTGATGCAAGAGAGCCAACACAAAGATAGCTAAAAGAGTCTAAAATTCCAGCTGCCAAAGGAAAATTTGTCTCCTCCTTTCAGATAGGCAGCTCTTGTGCCCAGTTTAGGACCAGGGAATATATTAAAGTTCAGAGCTTGGCATTTGCTGTAACATCTTGTAATTATATCTACACATCTGAAAAGCCCTTGATGATCTTCCATTAATTTTCATTACCGATGGTTATTTCCTTCATTTTATGGATGAAAGAACTGAGGCCTAGAGAAATAATGATTTTAAATAATCCCAAAGCTCCCTTTGCTATTTGAATCCACCCTCATCATCCCTAACAGAAAAGAATGATCAGGGCAGAGGAATGCATTGTAACCAGCTGGGTTCTGCAGAGTAAAGCACACAAACTTTGTCTCAGCATGTGGTCAATGGATTTTTCTTTTTCAATTTTTACATATTTAATTTATACATTTGAAAATAGTCTTATTTCAATGTCCAGAATTAATTTAGACCTTTAATCACCTCAGATAAACAAATGAACAAGCACTGGCTGAGGTTGGTTAAGTCATCCTGTCCACTTGGTTCTTTGGTGTCTCTTCTGCAGTGGCTGCTTTTTGACAGAGGTTAACATTTGATGCTAAGATCCTCACACTCTGTGCCCATTCTCTTACGTATATCCATATGTCTCTTCCCCAGAAATCCTTATCCATGCTTTTTCAATCTTTCTCCTTCCAAATGTTTAATCAAGTAGCCATCTTATGATGACTTGATGCTGGGCTCACTTGACTTATGCCTTAGTGATCTTGACAGTCCAACACTTGATGGGAAGTTCCGGTTGGTATAGGAAAATATTCAAGGGCGGTATGAGTATGGGTCAGGGCATTGGTAGAATTCTTATCTTCCACATGGGAGATCTGCTTTGATTCCTGGACAACACAACTCAAGCACAGCCACCACCCCTCTGTCAGTGGATGCTTTGTGTTTCTACGATGCTGAATAGATTTGAGTGGAACTTCCAGACTGAAATAGAAAGCCCTGGCGATATTCTTCTAAAAATGAGCCAATGAAAACACTATGGATCACAACTAATTGATCCCTTGTGCATGGGGTTGCTACGAGTCCTGGGCCAACTCAGCAGCAGCTAACAACAACATGAGTAATGGAATAAGATCTGAGCACTGAGCCAGAGAAGAATGAAGAAGGCAGATTATAGTTGATAAATTATGTTTGCCTGAGAATAAGAGATTGTAAACTCTGTCAAAACTAACTCAAAATGGTTCAAAGACATAAATATAAAACCTAGAACTATAACATTCTTGGAAGAAAACCTACAGATAAGGCTATGGGATTTAATTTTCTAAAAAAAAATAGCAAACATAATTATAAATGCACAGGAAGCATAGACAAATTATATAACTGGGATCTCATAAAAATTAAGTACTTATGCTTATCAAAGACTCAATAAAAATAGTAAAAAGACAAAAAATCTTCAAAAATGACATATCCAGTAAGAGTCTAATCTCTAACATACGTAGAATTCTTCAATAACTCAATAACAAAAAGACAAACAAACCAATTTAAAAATGAGCAGAAAACATGAACAGACACTTCATCAAAGCAGATATTTAAGCCACCAACAAACACAAGAAAAAATAATCATGATCATTAGCCATTAGAGAAATGCAAATCAAAACTACAATGAGATACATTCTCTCCCTTATTACAATGGCTGATAAAACAAAACAGCGAAACACCAGAAAACAACAAATGCTGGTGAGGATGTGGTGAGATTGGAACCCTAATCCATTGCTGTTGGAACTGTAAAATAGTATAACTATTACAAAAGGCATGGCACTTTCTGAAAAAGCTGGAAATAAAATGACTTTATAATCTAGCAATCTCACTCCTATTTATATACCCTAGAGATCTAAAGACAGAGACATAAAATAGACATATGAACACCCATGTTAATTGCAGCAATTTTCACAATAGCAAAAAAGATGGAAACAACCTAAGTGCCAATGGATCAATGGATGGACGGATAACAAAATGTGGTTCATACATACAATGGAATATTATGCAGCCATAAAAAATAATTATGAGTCTTCAAAACAATGATGAATCTGAAGGATATTACACTGAGTGATATAAACCAATCACAAAAGGATAAGTATTATATGACCTTGTATTTATAAAAAGACAAAAATGGGTATATGCACAGAAACCAACCAGAGATGGGAGAGAGAGATAGGAGAAATCATTCTCTAAATAGTAGACATTAGTTATTTTTGGTGATTTGATAGGTAATGCTGAATGTGAGTGAAGTGTGCACATCTTGACTAAGGTAAACGATGTCACTAAGAAGGTACAGAAGATTAAGGGACTTTTAAAATAAGTGCTATAGCATATAGGATTTTGCAACAACAACCAAAAAATATATGTGTGGTTGCTTATGTAGGTATGTATTTATACATGTGTATACGTAGGAATATATGTGTATGCATGTTTGGGTGCATCAATATGTATATACATATATGTGTAAACATGCATATGTATTCATATATACAATTAAGCACATAGGGACATAGTTACAGATGCTTCATAGACATAAGCAATCGCCTCATGGGGGTGAGTTACTGGGTGTGAAGGCTGAGGACCATAGTCTCAAGGGACAGTTCAGTCAATTGGCATAATATAATTTTAAAGCCTGTGTTCTATGATTTAATTTGGTGAGTAGTGTCTGGGGTATTAAAAGCTTGAGAGCAGCCATTTATAATAAAACTATTGGTTTCTACTCATCTGGAGAAAAAGAGAAAGAAGATAACCAAAGACTAATAGCCTACACTATATGAAGAAGAACATGGCATCAGGATTGGAGGAAGAATCATTAACAACCTGCAATACACTAATGATACAACTTTGCTTGCTGAAAGTGAGGATGATTTGAGGCACTTACTGATGAAGATTGAAGAATACAGTCTGTGGTATGGATTACATCTCAATATAAAGAAAGCAAAAATCCTCACAACTGGACCTATAAGCAGCATCATGATAAAAGAAGAAAAGATTTATGTTGTCAAAGACTTCACATTGCTTGGTTCTGCAATTAATGCCAATGGAAGCAGCAGTCAGGACATCAGATGATGTATAACACTGGGCAAGTTGGCTGCAAAGGACCTCTTACAAGTGCTGAGAAGCAAGATGTCTCCTTGAGGACCAAGGTGCACCTGACACAAGCCATGATATTTCCAATCGCCTTGTATGCATGTGAGAGCTGGACAAAGAATAAGGAAGACCGAAGTAGAGTCGATGCTTTTGAGTTGTGGTGCTGGCGAAGAATGCTGAAAGGACCATGGACTGCTAAAAGAACTAAAAAATATGTCCTGGAGGAAGTGCAACCAGAATACTCCTTGGAAGCAAGAAAGGCCAGACTTTGTTTCATCTACTTTGGTCATGTTGTCAGAAGGGACCATTCCCTGCAGAAGGATGTCATGCATGGTAAGGTGGAGGGTCAACAAAAGAGGGGAAACCCTTCAATGAAATGGATTGACATGGTGGCTGCAACGATGGGCTTAAGTATAGCAAGGATCATGGAGCTGGAGCTTGATCAGGCGGTGTTTCATTCTGCTGTGCATAGGTTTGCTATGAGTCAGAAATGACTCGATGGCACCTAACAACAAATAGCCTACATTAACAATGGCCTCATCTACCCAGAGACCAGGAGGTCTGATGCCCAGCTACCATTAGTGATTGTTCTGATCAGGGT